GGTGATTGTGGTGTCTGCCAGAGTGCTTGGAGTCCTCAGGAAGCGCTAGGAGCATCCTTCAACGGAGGTACCCAGTCGGGGTGCCAGGCGATCCGTTACAACTATGTTCAGGGGAAATGGACATTTTCAACCTCCAACACCCCTTCGAATCTTCTAGAACTTCTGGCAGTTTTCAAGGCTCTAATGCACTTCCAGCAACTTTTATTTCACAAATGGGTCAAGATCAGGACAGACAATGCCACAGTTGTGGCATATATAAATCACCAAGGAGGAACGAGAAGTTGCAGAATGATGAAACTTATGAAACCTTTGATGTCCTGGGCTCAAATGAATTTGGAGAATATCTCTGCAATACATCTCCCAGGAACTCAGAACTCTGTGGCAGACTTTCTCAGCAGGGTGAGATTAGACCCGGGAGAATGGAGTCTATCAGACATAATATTTCTACAGATCGTAGAAAAATGGGGCCTTCCCCAGATAGATCTAATGGCTACAAGCAACAACAGAAAAGTCAAGAACTTCTTTTCGAGAATTCCAGATCCCCAGGCCATAGGAAGAGACGAATTGACATGCAGGTGGAACTTCGACCTGGCTTATGCCTTTCCTCCGAAACCCCTCATCTTCCCTCTGCTAAGGAGACTACGACAAGAGAAGGCATCACTGATTCTAATAGCCCCTTTTTGGCCTCGCAGACCTTGGTTCCCGCTCCTACTAAGTCTGTGCAAGAAGGATCCATGGCGTCTTCCAGTTGTCCCATTCCTGTTACATCAGGGTCCAATTCATCATCCAAACCCAGCATCCCTTCGTCTGATGGCATGGTACTTGAAAGGGATGGGTTAAAGAACAAGGGGTTTTCGAGATCAGTAATCGAGACACTTCTTCAAGCAAGGAAGAAGTCCACTTCATCCACTTACTACAGAATATGGGATGTATTTTCTTCATGGGCCAGTTCAAGGCCCTTTGATATTTTGAACCCTTCAACTACTGACATTCTTGATTTTTTACAATCAGGTCTAGAGAAGGGATTGAGTTATAACACTCTAAAAGTACATATTTCAGCCCTCTCTGCTTTAACTAATCATAGATGGGCACTGGATCCGGACATAGCTAGATTTCTGACTGCAGTCCTCAAGATCAAGCCACCCATTAAGTCTATTACTCCGCCATGGGATCTCCCTCTGGTCCTGAAGGCTCTTAAAGCAGATCCTTTTGAACCTATGGCATCAATTTCCTGTCATCTTCTCACGATCAAGACAGTTCTACTAGTAGCCCTAGCCTCTGGTAGAAGGGTTTCTGATCTTCAGGCTCTTTCGGCTCGAGAACCTTTTACGATATTTCATAAGGACAGAGTCATCCTGAGAACGGTTCCAGAATTCCGCCCTAAGGTAACTTCAGAGTTCCATAAGAATGAAGAAATAATCCTTCCAGCATTAAGTACAGAAGAATCTAATAACGGGGAAAACGCTGATGATGATGCTATCGACCTAGTAAGATGTCTTAAGATATATATACAAAGATCCTCAGAATGGCGTATTTCGGAAAGGCTTTTTGTTATTCCTAATGGCCCTAGGAAGGGTCTGCAAGCTTCGAAAGCCACTATCAGCAGATGGATAGTTTCGGCCATTATCCTATCTTATAGATCATCTAAAACTAGTGTTCCTGAAGGTTTGAAAGCTCATTCTACACGTTCCCTTTCTTCATCCTGGGCAGCTGCAGCAAAGGTTTCTACAGAACTGATTTGCAAAGCAGCCACTTGGTCATCTTCTAATACATTTATTAGACATTATCGTTTAGATGTAAGAGCTGGCCAATACGATGGATTTGGCAGATCAGTTCTTTCTGCCTCAAAGGATTAACTACTATTCTTTTTGTTCATCACATTGAGTTGTTTGTGATAATACACTTGCATTATATAATAATGTGTCTGAGTTTTTCTTTCCCTCCCTTGGTTTTAGCTTGGGTATTACCCATTGTTGTGCTGCCATGGATATGGCCAGGAAAGAGATAAATTTACTCATACTTACCGTAATTTTCTTTTCCTGGTCATAGGCCATGGCAGCACAAAGATCCCACCCAGGGATATTGCTGTTAACTAGACT